CGACTCTATATAGGTCCACACTGTGCCGTCTTTCGCTGTTTCACGCCTCTTGGCTGAAAGTGGATTTATTGGGCCAGCTTCCTCATCTCGTGGCGGACTGAGTTGTCTTGGCACAGCAGGCACATCTGATGGATCAGGATTTTGCACTATTGCCAAAAGAAAGAACAGACTAATTACTTTTTTAGTTCATGAAATCACAATCTTGTTACTTAACTTATATTTAAGTTATACCTATATGATTTCTACTAGCCTGACAATATAGTATAATACTAATAATAGCAATAGAATAATAATAATGAAAAGGTGTGTGCCGGTGGAGGTGTGTGCCTGATGTAAAAATGTGAATGAATAGATCGGTCGTCAGGAAAGGTGCGTTGGTAACAGCGGTGGGTGTGTGAGGGGAAAAATAATATGACAACCGTTTTTGATAGCAGATCTAATCGGTATAGCCTACCTTAGATAGTTAGAGACGGATAACTTAACTTTGAAGTACAACTATTATTGATAATAGCCTGGCTAGTCTGCCTCGCAAAGTATCAAGAGAAACATACCTGGAATATTATCCGATGGAACAAGGTCAGTTCCAGGATTGGAGGCTCTTATTTCGACGGGGAATGAATTCATTATCTGAATCACCCCTCAGAGCTGGATGAACTGTCCAGGGACCAAGAGACATCGCTGTCCCTATCCGTACCTGCTCCTCCATCAGACTCCTCATCGTCAAGCCTCTGAAGCATGGCTAAAGCCTCTGTGTGTCATTCGTCTTTTTAATGACATTTTGTATAATATTTGGTTCATTTTCTTCGGTTTAGCTCAAATGTATTAGTTATAGCGTTAGAATAGTGTAAAAAAAAAGAACTGAAAAAACAGATCGTTGCTATGCAACGGGGACGCACGCTCATTACCAATAGCGGGAAATATAGCGGACTGAAATATGATATCTATAATGCGTGCGGTCAGAACTGTTCCGCACATTTAGGAAAATTCAGAGTCCTGCCACATTGATTTTATTTGAACAAAATTATTACACTGTGAAATTTAAAAACAGTCAAAATGACTGCCTTGGTAATTCTAGTGCAGATACAGGTATGCCGATTGAAAACAGTTCTAGTTGTGATTTTTTAAGAGAAGGTATGAGGTCACAGCCATGAGTTTAGGAATTGGTTCTGTAATAGGTATTTTTCCTATATTTGAAACTTAAATAGGAGAAGCAAGACTTGAATCTACGGGAATTTTACCAGTCCCGCTTTTCGAAGCAACTCTTTCCAGTACTTCTGTCCCAGTGTAAAGTGTTTTGATATGGGCTTTTTTTCTCCAAAGTTTTCAAACGCAGAGTGTGCGCTCGGTCCTCCACTCTGCGAGCGTAATGATCTCAGCTAACTTGTCTTAATGTGCATCAATATCTCAGGAAGGATTTGGATGGTGAAATGTCACGCCCTCCACAGAGTAGTGTGTTTGGATAAAGTTGTGTCAATACAGACACAGAGCGTGTGTTCGCATTGGAAAGGCTGCGATGTAGGCCTACTGCAATTTCTTCGTTATACAGGGCATGAATAGAGAAAGGCTGGAATCCACTCAAAATGAGCCAGAGGCATTGCAGCAGACACAACTTTTGATTACAAAAACAGCAAAGATTAGACGCAATTTGTAGTTGTTAATGTAATGTAATGAAGACTGTTTTTATTGTAGGAATCTGTGGAGTCTCAGTGCTAATTTGAGGTGGTGTGTGAATAGTGTGAAATGAAAGATATCAGGAGCACTGTGATTGTGAGCATGCACCGTGTTCAGACAGAGAATGCGTTTTGCTACACGCTCAGTCAGTCGCTTGGTGTTTGTCTTGTTGTGGTAGAAATGGTTACACTAGCGGGTTGCTAGTAAAACTTCTTTTGGTCAAATATAACAAATATAACAAATATAACGTGACTATGTTATTTCATGTTTAAACACCCTGTGACATGTTTGCCTACACAGCGGCTGTCCCGCCGCCACCAGAGGGAGCTCTAGGGTTTCACATGCAGTGTGATATCAAACAAGGAAAATGTGATGTCTTTACATCCCATTGGGACATTTCTGGGAGTAGCCGAATGATTTTTAATAGCTGTTGATTCTAGCTGAGACATTTTCAAAAGACAACAGACTTGTTAATTAAAGTACAACCCACCTGTCTTTGATGTCAGAGACGTCCCTTGTGGTGGTCCTGGAGCAGTGGAGCCCGTTGCTGCCGGCCCAGTGGTTGCAGGTGAAGAGGCTGAAGACATAGCTCCTGCTACAGAGACAGACTGAGCTGGCGTCCTGGCTGTGGTCACGGATACCCCAGCGTTAGGTGTAGTTATTCCCCCAGCGCCCCCCTGGTACACGGCACGGGCAAGAGAGATCTGGGACATCTGGCAAGTGGAGGCCTGGAGCGTTGGGACAGTGGCAGAAGCTGGGGTAGAGACTGCTGCTGTGGTGATGGCGGGAGCAGGCTTGAGTATAAAAGTGGCGGTGGAAGTGGTTTTGGCCTTGTTGAGCGAGCTGGCTGCGGACAAAGAGGAAACAGGAATGTTGACCAGCGTTCCTGCCTGGCCATTAGCCATTGATAAAGGCAGCTGGATGAGGAGCGGCTGGCCCGTAGTCATCATGCTGCCGCCGCCGGTCGTTTTCAGCAGCAGGGTGCCTGTGGGACTTTGAGTGGTGATGCCGGTGGCCAATGTGGAGGCAGCATTAGAGGTGGAGGTGATCAGCTGGAGAATGGGGGCCTGTGTAACCATGGCAGTGGAGGTGGGTGTTGGACCTGGAGCCAAGGCTGGTGGAGCTGACAGGGCTAGATTTGTAGAGGAAAATAGGAAAAATGACTTGTTTCAGAACGTGTTGGAAGGTGTCACTGATTGAACAGCATTCTGTGGTCCTTTCCTCATCTGCGCCTTATTACTTACTGCAATTAACTATTTATTTACTTAAAGGGGGTGCAAAAACCAGAAGCAGATTAGTCATCATTATATCCATCCATTGTTTTTTGCTAGCAAGGCTCATGGCACCTAACATGCAATGAGCAAAAGACAGGTGAAGACCTATTGCGACACTAACAGGACACTTAAGGATGATGCTGATTTCCAGCAGACCAACACCAACAATGCATTAGTTCATCTCTTAATACATGGCACTCAGGTCCATGACATTCATTCCTATTAAAAA